ATGTCCTGTCTGGCTGTGAAGCAAACAGAATTACGCCTGATAATTAAAACTTTGTTATTGTTTTTTTTAATGCTTTGTAATTCTGACCAGACACGGAGACAGAGGTGAAAGAAAGGACGAGATGATGATAAACAATGATGAATAGGGGTCTGCTTCTAGACCTGCAGAAAAGGGACACACAACAATACAACAGGAGCAAGCTATCACTGCGTCAATTTGAAGAAATCTAAAAACATTTCTTTACTGAACAATCACACGATAAATCACAGTGCATTTAGTGCCAACCACAGCCTTAAGACATGTGTTGAACGTGCCCAAGTCCATACTTTTGAGAGCACCTGTGTGTGTACACGCGCACACAGCCAAGCCAGAAGGGAAGGGCCAGGTGTTGTTCCTTTCTATTGTAAGCTTGTGTTTTATGTGCATTACAGCCAGCAATCCAAACAACAGCACCAGCACCCCCCCACCTCCATTCTGACATTCATACAACAGCCCCCCCCCCCCCCCCCCCCTGAAAAAAATCCCAGGGTGTACAAAAACACAAATTCTACCATTGTTTTTTTTCTTTAAAGAGCAAGTCAGCCCCAAATCAACTATTTTTTTTCTGATAAACTATATAAATGCATGCCTAATCGTGCTGCAGACACGTGTAGTAAATAGTTTTGCACTTTAGTGCATTTTAGTTAAAATTTAAATTTTCTGCCTGAAACTGTCAGTGTTGTGCCGTTGTCAGGTAAAAACTCTGTACTGTATTTGAATTTAAATCTCCCACCGCTATTGGCTAAGAGGTATGCTATGATGTACACTGGTACATTATGATGTCACAATGTCGTGAGTGTGTGTATTTGTTAGTGGCTCCACCCTCTCGGTCTGCTAGGCAACAGCATTTGTTGCATTTTTCAAAGTGGGAGTGAAGTACGCTTCTTGTAAGGGGTGACTTGCTCTTTAACTGAAACAAACCCAATGTTGAAAAGTTCTGAAAACATTATCGATTTGTTTAGTTTTAAAATTGATTCTGGAATCCTTCGACTGATCAAATAAACTTTATAGCACTTTTCATACAAAAAAATGCAACTCAAAGTGCTTCATAGATTTAAGTGGCCCCATAGAGCCCATATTCCCATCCCAGCCCTCCTCCCCAAGTATAAAACAATTGACAATTACACTTCCCCTCCCGCAACCAATTTTTAAGGTGAACGTACACTCACCCACACACTCGTGTGAGGTATCTCAATGTTCTCATGACAAAACTCTAAGAGACTGCTCAAATCTGTAACATAACAAGCCAAATTAAATTCAAACATTTCAAATGGACCGTATGACAGCTGCTAACATTGGCCTTGCCCTACTTTACCTCTGCATTACAGTTCCTTTATTCATTGACATGGTTTTGGGGACGAGTTTAACCTAAGACATGCAGAATTCACCACTCACGAGTCAATTAGAAACATTAAAGAATTTTATTAAAAAATAGACACAGAGATAGACAGACAGACAGACAGACAGATAGACAGATAGATAGGAATAGGCGAGTCCAGGGAGGCAAGTCTAAACTAGGAAGGTGCAGAGTAAAGACTTACGGGGAAGCTGGGGGCTGAGGAATTGGGGAGGGTCGGTGGAGTGCCGGGGTGAATCCAAGAGGGGGTGTCCAGGAGAGGGGGCACGAGGAGAGCAGGAGAGCGGGCCGGCAGGGAGGAGAGGAGACCGATGAATGCTGCGTCCAGGAGATTTCTGGGGCACAGGTGAGTAATCCAGCAGGATCGTGGAAATGTCCAAGTAGTCAGAGGAGCCACAGGAAAACCAGAGAAGCTCCAGAAGCTTCAGAAGTCCAAGGAGATCCTGAGGAGTCAAGGTAAGGTCCACAAACGATCCAAAAATCCTGGGAACAGGTAAGCACAAGTATATCCACAAAGGCTCAAAAATCCTAAGTCATTAGAGTTAACCTGGAGACACAAAGGGCTGGCACTACCAAGTTGTAGTTAATCATCCGGCATCGAGATGTGTTCTCCTCCTCCTCTTAGCTGGACCCACTGATTGTTAATGAGCTGCAGCTGGAGCCTCCCTCTCCTGAAACACAGCAGCTCAAAGATGGAACAAAAATGAGAGGAGCACTCACCCCGGCACATGACATTCATGTCCATCCGAGAGCTCCTCTCTGACTTTCATGCATATTTAGAGCAGCAGATTTTTAAAGTAAGCAAAGTTCATCCTTGGTAGTGGGTTCACTCACTCATTTAACCCTTCACCACTGAAATCAGTTTGTTCATTCCAATCCTCCTAAGTAATCCTCCAATCATCCAACTGGAATCCTCAAGGGTCCCGTAACATCCACCCTGTCAGAATAGGCCTTGGGAGCCCAGGTGTTACTAGAACTAATTGTGTCTCCTCACCAGCGTGAAGGTTGGTCTCCAAACATTAACTTTAAATTCATGCTTTTGTCTCCTCTTGTAGCACTTTAACATGTTTTTAACATCTGCTTCTCCAGATCCGCTGGTTCTGAATAACACACACATACACACACACCATCATCATTCATCACATCTCACTCCACCTTAGTCCATCAGTACACAGAGTGTTAAAGTTAATCTTGTTTAAATTGTGTCAAAATAAATTTCTTAACTATTTTAAACCTGACTCTCTCTCTTTCCTTGGAGTCTATACAAAGTGTTGCTTAATCCCTGCAATAAAAAGTTCAGATCTTCTGGTTAAAATATTCAAAGATCCATCAGATTGATATTTCATGTTTCTATGGAATCTCACATTTTATGGTTCATCAAGTAAGATGTAAACGACTCATTCTTTACAAGTGCAAAGAACTTCTTTATTAGAACTATTAGAACCTAAGAAAAAAAAGTCAAAATATGTCCCCTTTAAGATGAAAGTGTTGCAAATGAATATACAATTTTTGGCACTCTAAATAGAAAAACGTAAGTGGAGTAAAATTCAGGGAAACGTTCAACATTTCTATGATTAAATGCATAAATTCATTAAACTTGTAAATTCTCATGTCTCACTTCCTGCATTTACAAACAGTAAAATTTATAAATGCATACATTAAATTCAGAAATTAAACAGAAAATAAAATCTGGTATTTAAAATTTTTATTAATTAATATGCGAGACAAACATATTAAATATTGAAAAATGTTCTGTAATAAAGAAAGATTGCAGAAAAAATCTCAAGCAATTTCACGGGATTTTTTTTTACACTGCTGTAGTTTTTGAATTGATTCTTGATGTAAATGTCCTGCTTCTATTAACAAAACGTTTAAATTCAGTGTACCTCATTGAAAAAAATAACGTAAACTAAATTTGTTTTGTTGGCTCTCAAAACTGATAATGAACGTGTCGCTAACCAACAGCTACAGAAGTTATATTAACAAATCTCCAAATCTGAAAGCACTTGGATTATGGCACAGCAAAACATAAAATCCCATTTGCAGTCAACTTACCAAATTGAAGATGACCAGTTTCACTTGGACTGAGAGCTTTTTTGGCTTCGTGAAGAAAGTTCCCAGCAATCGACAGCAGTTTCAAATGTCACAATTTGAATGGGCTTCAGACCTTTTACTCTGCCTGCTGAACTGAAAGATAGATAATGAAGGAATAACCCACACCAGTCCTCCAAACAGCTTTCCAGTCAATTATCTAATTAACGCTGAGCTCCAGAAAAGCAGCGTTCAGCATATTAAAGAGCCACGATGCCTAAACATTTCACTCTGTCTTACCAGGACGTCCTTGTAACTTTACAAGAGGTCAGACCGTGTAATGATCCGAGAAACTAACAATGACCAAAGAGCTTCATCTCAGACGCCGCCTTCTACATTTAACATGTTAGATGTTCAGATTCTTTGCTATTTGGGTAATTATAAGACTCATATAGATGATTTTGGTCTTTAAAATTTGCATAGTTTAGATGCTAATTCACAAACATATTTTGAGCCCACCAGGGGCCCTCGGTTTACCAAACCATATGAGTAAATTAGCAGAGACTTTGTGGGCTTCGTGCAGCAGATGCTGTGTTTAGTTTGGTTTGTGTGTGGATGAGGAGGCAGATTAAAAATTCCAACACCTGAAGTGAAACGAGGGTTTGGGGACCGTCCAACATCATCAGTGTTGACACCAAAATCCTATCAGACATTTATGTCTGATAGGATTTTCATTCCAGCAACTGCAACAAAAACATCCTCGTTTCAATTTTCATCCTTTGCTGTTTATTCCTCATCCAGCTCAAATCAACACTTGTTTGGAATAAATCAGTCAGTAATGCTTTGGCTGCCTTTCTGTTATGGAAAGGATTCTGAAAGCGAGATTTAGTTGAACTTTTAAGCTATAATCAGCTCAAGTATTTGGTCGTTCTTAACAGAAAAATGTAAGTTAGCACTTATTAAACTGAGGAGGTGATTTTTATTCTAACCTATGGCACCAGTTGGGCTCCATAAGAAAAGGAGAATTTTGGCCATCACACCTGCTTTAAAGCACGGGGGTGGAAGGATGCTGATTTTGGGTTGTTTTTTGCCACATAACTGGGGCCTAAAAACATGTTTCAGTCTTGTAGCTCACAGGAGTTTAATTTGAATTAGAAGACAATTATCCCAAACTCAACAATCAATTTGCAACAACATGGCAGAGAAGATATTAAAACCGAGAATGGAGTAAACATTGATAGAAAAAACAATTATGCAGTGGATATTTACAGGTTATTGCTCCTGTTTTAGGGCTTAGTGCTTTCTCAGTCAGTAGGTCAATGACAGTTTAACATCATTTGTTGTTGTTCACCAAAGGAGAATTTCAAATATGTCTCACGTTTAATGAATAACAAGTTAAAGTTTGTAAGGCAGCCATTTATATCCTGTAATTAGACAGATGAAGACGTTTTGTGGAGAAATAACTCAATGTGTTTGATTTTATTCAAGAACTACTTAGATGAACGTTTGGGACGAACTCAAACATCAGCTCCCTTCTGTCATCAGAGCCTCCTAGTAAAGTGACATGGTCGTTAACCTCGGTGTTTGAGTCTCACCCCGCCCTACCGGGACCGACAGCAGCTGCTTACTAACATCCTCCCCACCCACCCCCAGAAGCCCCGCCGGGGACGCGGACATGCCGAACCACAGCAGAACTGCCGCCTCCTCTCGTCCGTTTCCAGCGTCTTAAACAGACCTCCCCCAGCAGCTCACCGGCACCTGGCTGCGAGCGGACCGCGCGGAAGGGCGACAGATGATGACGGTTCTGGTTTTAGAGTGGGTTCCCACGGACTCCGTTAGCTGCTGGAAATAAGAAGAAAAACGACTCCTGAACAGGTTGCTGCTGAGATATTCTTCAGTCTGAAAGGTAAGCAGCGGTGGAGCTTGCTTTGATTTTTAAAAGGTTAACTGAAGAATAGCGCTGCGTGAAAAACCTGTAGCTGCTATTTCAAACATTAAATATAAATATTTATGAGATAAAGTTCTTAAATGGTGGTTTCATTATATAGAAACTGTTTTAAATTATATTAAACAATAAAAAAATAAACTGAAAAGTATGTAAAAGACCTGAAAATGAGTTGAACTGTCCATGGTGCTGAAATTAGACTCGTTCTTTATCTATCTATATCTATCTATCATCTATCTATCTATCTATCTATCTATCTATCTATCTATCTATCTATCTATCTATCTATCTATCTATCTATCTATCTATCTATCTATCTATCTATCTATCTATCTATCTATCTATCTATCTATCTATCTATCTATCATCTATCTATCTATCTATCTATCTATCTATCTATCTATCTATCTATCTATCTATCTATCTATCTATCTATCTATCTATCTATCTATTTATCTATCTATCTATCTATGTGACTTACCATCTCATAGGAGATGCAAGTGATTAATTAGAATGAATAATTTATTTCTGATGATAATGAAGATGTCTCCCTGATGCCCTCACCTTGACTCCATCCGGCTCATCTCCTGTAGCTGCAGAACCAAAACCACAACTGCTAGATCTTGAGGGGTGTCTTTACTTGTTGATTGCATGTTGTGTCATATCCTTTTTCTTTTTCTTTTATGTTTTATCTCCTTGAGAGCCTTTGGAGAAAAGCCAAGGATGCTGTCCATCCGATGGTGACTTCTACAGGTACGCTTCACTGGGCTTTATGAGTGACATCTTTTCCAGGGATCTAAATCTACACCCTAACATTGTTTCTTGTGTCTCTTATGTCTGCTGTGCACCGCAGGAGTTTTGCTCAGGGCAAGCTCTTTATTCCTGTAATTATCTCAGATCTCTGCAGTTGCTTTGGACTTCAATGTTCAGTTTATTTGTGGCCATAAAGTTAAAAGAGCTCCTAATTTTTTATGCACTCTGTCAAAATGAGCCATTGCACTGTAGCAACAGGAGAACCTCACCAAACACAAAACAATCAGCTGTTCATGTTGCCAAGTTTAAAATTAAATTTCTCGCCACTCTTGCAGCCTTTGTTCCCTTCTGCACTGGCAGCAGGTGTCTTTGTCCTAGATGGGGTTTTGTTCCTCTCTTCACACGCCGATTTGAGTGCTCTCAGCGGCACATGAGGCAGAAAAGTCCATATTTTACTACCTGACTAAATTGCCCTGTGATGGAAAAATATTGTTAAAAGAGCAATACTTGAATAATTGAAGCCCCTGAGCTTTAAATTTTGCAGCATCTTGCTGTGATTTCCAGCACAAAGTTAGCCTCTTCTACAAAATATTCATATTATTTAAGAATGGATGCATGAGGGACGCTATTGGGGACAGCCGGTGTGTCCCGCTCTCATACTCTCCCTGTATGTCCTCTATGATCCACCTGTCAGCGGTTGTAAAATCAACTATGTGACTTCTCTAAGAAAGGAATTGATCCTCATAAAAGTATAACTTTATTTGTCCGCAACGTGCCACAAACTAAACAGACACTTGGGTTTAATAAATGATTTTGTTTCTTTCTTTGCACAATTGTTTAAAAACTATCTTTTCAGATAACACTGCCGCTTTTTTCCAGTGAGATCCTAAGAGGGCCCAACATGACCATTTGTAGGCATTTCCCCACATTTTCATTTAACCCAAAGCAGCAGGAAAATACAAATGCAGCTTTAATGCATAAGAGCAAAATGTGTTGCAGACTAAGGCAAGATACCAAACCTAAAGATGAGAAAGGCGAGAATATTCCAGAATATCTTACAGATTTTTATGTAAATATCTTTATTCAGATAATCTAGTGGTGTGGCACCAGATGTGTGGGGGGGCAGATCCGAGGAGGTGGTGAACTCAAAGGCAAGGGGCTGGCTTGGGTTGCAGCCAAGGGTTCCAGGCAGGGGCGGATTTAGGACTGAAGAATATCCGGGGCTTAACACACACACACACACGCGCGCACACGCGCACACACACGTGACACGCACTAGTCAACATCATATATGTCTTGTACCACATAATTCTTAATCTGAAGCTACATATTAAGCATTTTCAGGGCAGAGTGTTGTTCCTCTTAGTGTTTAGTGTGAGATGATAGTAAATATTCCCTTTCTTTGTCCGACAACTTTACCTGATAACTTCAGGCAAACCAGCAGCACAACAAATATTTTCAAATAAGACTCACAAACCTGAGTCAACACCAGTCTCATCAAAGCTGGGATTCTGTCGTTGTACTTTTTGTCTAAAAAACATCCTTATGTCCATCTTCACTCATGCGTTTCAGGCAGAGTGTAGAAAAAAGCAGGCACTGAAGAAGAAGCCGGCTGCTGAAGGGCTTCTTCTTCAGTGGTGGAGGCTCAGGCAGGCTGTATACAAACTACTGCCAGCTGCTCCCTCTCTGTTGGACTTTGGTACTGCATGTTACTTCCGCGATTTAGATCCGGGGCTTTTCAGGAAACATCCGGGGCTTCAGCCCAAGTAGCCGGGCCTAATGCCGCCCCTGGTTCCAGGAGGGGTGAGCGGTGGCAGAGCAGGACAGACAGACTACAGGCAGATGTGTAGCTCAAAGGAGATCCAGGAGGTTATAGTAGAAGAGTGGATTGTTGGCTGGAATACCTGCAACAAGGGAAAGGTTAAAGACTCGATAAACAGAGTTAGAAGACTTGAAACTTGGCTTTAGACTCTCCACTTGGTTGTTCCCAAAGTGAGTAATCATCTGGCGTCTTGGTGTCGTCTGCCAGCTTCTTAACCCTCCCACTGTCTTTATGGGGTGACCCCGTGAGGAAATTTGACCATTGAGCAGGATTGATGGTTTATCGCTTGAGGTCCATGTGGCAGTGGTGAGGTGGTGCTCTCTCCTCACCCCTGCCACATGGACCCAAGGGATAAACCATCAGCCCTGCTCAATGGTCAACTTTCCTCGCGGGGTCACCCCATAAAGACAGTGGGAGGGTTGAATAGGCCGTCCTCTGTGATTTGAAACAGCTGCATCTGTCCCTGCTCAGTACCGCTTACCTGCAATCAAGTTCAGAGGTCGCCAGATGATGGCCACTCACCTCAGATCATGACAACTTATGAAAAGCAACAAAAAATTCCAACATAAAGTCATTTAAATGTGAATGCAATCGTTACAGCTGTTGTGTGGGCGTGCAGAGATGTGTTTCATCTGTTTTAACTGCCCATGATCAGCGACAGTTTGGAAATCATTTATGTTGATTTTGAAAGTTTGTTTCTGAAAATTATCCATTTTGTAATTTGAATTTGAAGTTTGATGCAGTATTGAAAAAGCCTGGTCTGAATCATTCAATTTTGAGAACCTTCGGCTGATCGCTGAGGTGCCATTCCTGTCAAAGGTGCTGGAGAAAATAGTTCATGTGCAAATTTCTGCAAACACGGACACTAATTCACTCCAAGATGCGTTTCAGTCTGCCTTAAGGCCACACCACAGTACAGAATCTGCCATAATTAGGGTGCTTAATGACATTCTGGTGGCATCTGATTCTGGGTCTCAAGTACTGCTGATCTTGTTGGGCCTGTCTGCTGCCTTTGATACAGTTGATCATTGCATTCTGTAAGACCGGCTTGAGTCTTAGGTCGGGGTGACGGGGATTGCACTGGAATGGTTTTGCTCATATCTCAAATCATTCGATTACTGTCCAACTTGGGGACTGTGCCTCAACCTCATTCTCTCTACCCTGGGGTGTGCCGCAGGGCTCTGTCCTTGGGCCACTTCTCTTTTCAATATATCTCCTGCCATTGGGCAAAATCCTTGGCTTGCATGGTATCAGCTATCATATTTATGCTGATGACTGCCAAATTTATGTAGCACTAAATGACTAAAATGCAAACTCTTGTCTCTCGGTGTGCATGGAGAACATGAAGGGCTGGCTAGCCGCTAATTTTCTTAGATTAAATGAGCTAAAATCTGAGTCAATTGTTTTTGATACCCGAAATCGCTTATGCTCTCTTTCTGGCCTTGATTCTATAAATTTAAACCACAAACAGTGTGTAATGAGTTTTGGGGTAAAATTGGATGCAGACCTCTCAATGGCTTCTCAGATAAACTCTGTTGCATGGTTCTATTTTTATCAGTTACATTGTCTGGCTCTTCTTAGACCTATTCTGAAGCAGAAACATTTGGAATCAGTTATTCACGCCGTCATTACCTCCCGTTTAGACTATGCGAACACGCTCCTTACTGGTATTCCTAACTCAGTGTTAAGTCGGCTCCAAGTTGTCCAGAACGCAGCTGCTGGGTTCCTGATGAAGACAAATCGATTTTGCCACATCACCTCGGCCCTTGCACGCCTTCATTGGCTCCCTTTTGCACTCCATGTACAGTTTAAGCTGCTGAATTTTGCTTTCCAAGCATTGCACAACAAAGCACCAGCATATCAGTCTGATCTGCTATGCCCTATGTTCCCATGCGCTTGTTGAGGTCAGCAGGTCCCCTCCTGATTTGCACTCCACAGACCTGCTATAAATCGCAGGGTGACTGAGCATTTGTCCATGCTGCACCCCCAGCTGTGGAATGCACTGCCCACTATTGTAAGGCATGCTCCCTCTTTGCAAACACAGCCTTTTTTTGTCACATCTGTAAAATCACACAACCTTTCATCCCCACATAAGGGTAAAGTAAAATTTAATTTGGCTCAATTATGATGGAAGTTACCCCCACATGATCTGGCATGATGTCCAGCAACGGTTCTATTTGTTAATGTGGACCATCTTAAGAAAACATATTTCTACCTAATTTAACCTCCAGGCTCCTGTAGCAGCTCTTCTCTGCTTTTAGAGCAGCACTGTGTGTTTCCCTGTTTTCTATAGTAATTGATTAATCAATCACAAGTTGAATGAGTTGGTGTCACATATATAACTATAATTAGAATTCAGCTGTTACAAAAATGCTTCTTTTACATATTTACTCTCCCAAATAGGACTAAACATTTGCCTGTCATCTATATTATGGCACAAATGGGTTTAATTTCACCTACTTGAACCAAACAACTCAACTCTGCCACCAGTTGATGCAAACTGGTGTCTGCAATCTCCTTGAAATGTGGACTCTGGATATTTAAAGAGCAAGTCACCCCCTACCAAAGTCTTACTCCACTCCCACGTCCTGTTGGAAAAATGCAACAAATGCTATTGCCTGGCAGACCGAGAGGGCGGAGCCCCTAACAAATACACGCACACACAAACTCACGACATTGTGACATAATGTACCAGCTAATATCACAGTGTACCTCTTAGCCAATAGAGTTGGCAGATTTAATTTCAAATGTAGTGCAGAGTTTTTACATGACGACGGCGCAACACTGCCAGTTTTAGTTAGAACATTTAAATTTTAAAATGATTGACTACTTGTGTCTACAGCAGTGGTTCCCAACCTTTTTCCCAAGGGACCCCGTTTTTTACCAGTAAAATTTTTGACGACCCCCTCCCATTCTCTCTTCCAGTACAAACATTATTAAGAAATGATAAAATTGTTCAAGCACATTTTAATATGCTTTGATTCAATAGATAACAGTAATAGTAGGCTCCAGTACAGAACAAAGTCATTAACAAAACCAAACAGAGCATAATGTGCTTGACAGTTTGTATTACTTTTCTGAACACATTGTTTCTTGTAAACACTGATAAATCAATCATTCCTTTCAATAAATGTTTGACACATAAAAAATACACTGAGCTAAATGTACTTAAATGTGT